CTTTCATCCACTCGTCAAAGGAGAGCCAGATTCCCTCACTTCTATGCAATGAATCCAGTTCAGTGCCTTTTTCCAATGATTTAATCTTTAAGCTTCTTCGATCCCGTAAAGCATCCTCAGCTGCAAGCCCTGATGGTCTTCCTCCGGCACTTCTGAAATTTGGAGCTGCTTCCCTAACCAATATGATGACATCCATCGTCAATGAGTCCCTATCTTCCCGGTCGATTCCTCATCCTTGGCTTCCAGTGACCATTATTCCGATCGCCAAATCCACGTCCTCAGCTATTCTTGCGAAACGGTTTCCTCCTATCGCTTTGATCTCAGCGGCTCTAAAGGTAACTGAAACAGCCATCCTGAGTCCACAATTCCTCACGACCCCCTTCATTTTGCATACAACCCAAACAGATCTACACTGGACACCGTATCTACTTTAGTGCATTTTATCAGCAAGTCATTGAACCATTCGTTCAAATCTGTCCGTTGTGTTTTCATCCGCGGTTGATTCTGTTTCCCGATCATCCCTTCTTTTCAAACTTGAATCTTTTGGCCCTCCAAAACAACTGCTCTCATGGCTTGCTGACTATTTCACAGAGACGGTCCAGTGCACCAAATTAGGAAGGAGGACATAAAAACCTCTTGTTTATAATTCTGGTGTTCTTCAAGGTGTTGCTCTATCTCCATATCTTTTTTCTGCCTTTATTAGCGATCTTTCGGTCCCACCCCCTGCGCACATCAAAAGTATGCCGATGACATTGTTTTGTGCCAGACAGTTTCACCTCCTTCGAAATTTCATTCTTTTACTGACAACCTATCTCACATCCAACAGTTTTCTGATCAATCTGGTCTCAGTCTTAACATATCTAAGTGCATAGAGTGCATTTTCAGTCTTTCCCGCTCCTCATTAACAACGGACTATACTACCCTTACCGGTAAACCTGTATCCAGAATGACCTCAGTCAAGTACCAGGGTGTCACCATCGAAGTAACCTTCGTTGGTCTACACATACCTACAACTGTATAGGAAAACTGAGACGCCTATCTTTTTAGATACGCAAACTCAGGCAATTCCGAACCCCACAGACAGTTCTGTCATCTTTCGTTCATCAATGCGTTTTACCCATTCTACTTTATTGCTCCCCTTTAGTGTTTTTCGGTCTTTTAAAACAAGACTTCAAAGTAATTCGCCGTGGTTTCGTAGTATTCAGTCGTGCATCATTATCCTCAATCGATTCACTAATCACGGAACTCATTGATGGTCGCATCAACTCTTGTTTTAGATTTTCTCAAAAGATTCTAGATGATCCTCTTCATCCACTACACTCTGATCTATCGTCTTGTCGTTCCCATTTGTCCACACGCTCCTCATTTCGACAGCCACCCTCTCGGATTAAAATTTATAAAGGTTCCCCTGTAACCTACTTGACCCGACTACTTTCCAAGACGGAACAGGTCTCGAATGAACTACGTCAAAAGTTTTGTACATGAAACATATATCACCGACATTCTTTACCTTTCGTTTTTATTACTATTATTATTATTATTATTTCATTCTGCTTGACGAACAATGTACATTTTTAACTGAAATGTAATCATATATGCTTGCACAAGTAATACAAATACAAATACGAATAATGGTGTAGATGATGTACAGTTAGGATTGGTTTTTGTAGCAACCTTTGTGGGTTGCGGTCAGAGTGTAAATTAATGTTTTTCAGGACACCAATGAATCAAGCTGTTCTTTTGGGCGAGTTCATCGTTTGAATGCAACAAGGTTTTGCAATTTTCTGTACTCAATAATGGTGTGAGTGCGGAAAATGTGATCGAAAGGCAGAACTACATGGTTGCTGTGTCCCAATGGACACGTGATTTTGAAACAATCCGTCATAAGCCCCTCGCTTTTCAATAACGAAGTCAACGATGGTGGATGGACAGTTTCAAATATAGTAGGCTATTTTAAATGAATATACATAGGACGTGAGTCGATAAATTTCGTTCGCTTGTGTGGTTATAGTTCCCACATTTTATAAAATTGGAACAGTTAAAGTCTGTCATTATGAGAACATGAGTGAACTTAATTGAGAGTGTCTTTCATGGCCTGCATGCTCACTTATCTGTGATATTCATTGACACCTGCAGTAGAGCCTATTACAAATGTGCATTATCAGCGCTATATCGCCTAACTAGTACATCTGTCATATCCACAGAACTACAACTGCAGAGTTCGGGATAGTAAAAGAAAAGCGTGCATCAGAATCTGAACTGTTTTCGCTCTTTATTCGATAAAAAACAAGCAACTGTTATATGTTGGTAATGAAAGCTTCATAAATGTATCTAATTTTAACGAATAAATTCCAGTTTTAATTCAGGTAGAAGAACTAAAGTTGCCACGATATGTTATAAGCTAATGAAAATAGCTAAATAAATATCAGTTGATTACTAAAAGTGTTGATAACGGATTCCAGGAGAGAATTTGAGAATCTCGGAATGGATTCAGTTATTCGAATGTATTTGGATTTAGTTTCGCCATCCGATGCAAAGATTGCTAGTTCTTGTTTTTTTTATTTAGGTGCCAGTGTGAAGCTCTTGGGTAAACATATTCTAAGATGCTCGAAAATTTGCGTTAGAAATAAAATCGAGTGGTTAAATTTGAGTCGGTCATGGCCTCAGTGAGACTTTGAGCACCACTTTTTTAATCTGTAATTTGTAACTGCCGTTTGGTTCCACAGTGGTGAAACTGAGAATTTGACTTGGGTCATCTGAGAATCTGACCATTTGGCTTTTGGAAAAACCGGAGCTTTTATTGCTATTTATGACGATTGTGTTATGCTTATGGAGTTCCAAGGCATCTACGAGTAGATTAAAAGATTTACTATTGCAGCTACAGAAGAGACAAACAGACCTTCGGCTGGCGATATTCGATGGAGAGACGAGCACGACAATACTAATTGGTACAAATTAGGTGTTTCGTTATTTTTGTTATTTATGTTATGTTATGTTATTTACCCATATGCGATGCTGTTCTCCAAACAAATATCTCTACTTGTCCCGGCACTGTCTTATGGGTATATAACACCAAACATTTCACTGAACCCAATCGGAAAGTAAGTATGAACTGAAAAGTTCTCTTATTTTTCTAGCACTATTTTTTTTCTTCCTGCAATTCTCCTCCAAGAGAGAGCACTCTTTTGGGGTAGACTACTCGGGGAGCGGTGAGAGGAACTGAAATACCTTTTTATCCATTTATCGTTATCATTATATATTGGTATTTATGCTACTTGTGAGCAGGTTATGTCTTCTTTAAGGGATGCGCTTGGTTCAGGATGCATTTGAGTGTACATTTTTATTGATTAACCGTATTCATTTGAGTACGGGGTGGGTCAATGGTTAGACTGTGGCTCGTCGTGTCAATTCAACAAGCCACACATACACTTGAAAGTAATGCATATTTGTTTCATTCTTGCCAGAATTGATCCATCAGCCTTTCGGTCGCTCGAACCCCGATGTGCATCGTTTTTACTTACACATTTTACCATGAGGCTACACAGACTGGTTTAGCCGGGTCGGTTTCACGTGTAAAACCTACTCCAACTCTATCCGTAGACTTTGACTGTGGGTACATAATAAGAACGAGGCCAGGACAAATTTAGCCATACGCGAGCACTCCTTTCACGTGGATGTTCAACGTGAAAAACAGCTTTTTTAGAAGACGCNTAATGAAAAAATTGCACTCATGTGATGATTAATATTGAGGACGTCCGATAGTTTGCAAATATTGCTTCTACCCGAAAAGAGGAGAGTGAACTGTCTATCTTGATCATCATGACTTAGCTAAATGCTAGTGGATTCGCATTTCTGTTGCGTAATCGCACTTTTAATGTATGTGATAGATTTATTCGATAGAGGTCAGGTCAACCGCTGTCTAATGCAACAGTTTGCAATAACTTACACCGGAACTCTTATCATGGTTTGCTTCTTGCAATCTGGTGGGGTCTGTCCGAGCAAACACCAAATAGAATATGTTTGGCCACTTCTTGAGCGCAGTATGGTTTAGTTTTGCATCTTCACGTGACCTGATAAACAGCATGTGGGGGTGTACATAAATCATTACGACTGTCAATGATAATTAAATGTGAGACTGCTAGTATTGCGCATAAAAAATCTTTTTAAAAGTGACCTTTTCATCATATCACGTTGAAACTTAAACTCCGTTTTAAGCTGAGGCCTATTACGCGTTGAAAATTCTATTTTCAATTGAACAACCTCATGGGTTTTGATGCTTCACGTGCAGTTGACTAGTTCATTTTCAATTGTGGTGACACGTCCATATGTAGAACAAGACCTTACTTGGGTGAAAGAGCTGCCGATTCATGGCCCGAGTCATATTTCACACTCGTCGACCCAACTGGCTAGCACGGAGCAAAATTTCGCGAGCGATCCGGAATCGGTTATCGTCAAACGATTGCGTGTAACAGCTCATCGAGTTGACCTGTTGGCCTTGACATATCCATTCACAGGGTGACTGCGCGTCGGGGATTCGAATTGACTGGTATTTAGTGAAGCCGTACTAATCAATTTGGATCAGTCCCTTCCGCTGTTATGCGCAAAAACAATGATTGCAAAATGTCTGATATCCATGAACATATACCGTCAATCTTTTTCAGTGTATTTTCGACAAACGGCACTTACAGCAAACGAATATTTTCATTTCAAACAAAACAACCGAGTGGAGAACAAGCTCGTTTTCAGAGATTTGCGTTCATGCCAATAATTCTCAATATATATCACTACTTGGGAATAAAATTGTCATGGGAAAATAAAGTAAAAACACAGATTATTAAAAACGATTTCATCGTGAGACCGGAAATTGGGTTTACCACGATCACATGCTTGTTTGTCCACTCATCCGATCATCGAAATTACTCACGATGCGGTTTGTATGGGGGTTGGGCCAGGGACACTTTAGCGCTTGCACAAATTGCTTTGGGCACACAGAGGGGGGTTGTGCAGACGAATACCCACCGCTTCTGCCGTAGCCAACATCCGACAGCGAACCTGCCTCGATAATCGCCCACAAACTTTGTACAGGGGTCGGAAAGCCTTGCACACGTTCATGGTGTGATTTGTTTCAGCTAGGTGTGAAACCACTGCACTGGTGAGTGACTTAATCGTTCCGGTGTTCAGCCACGCGGAATGGTGTTCACAAATCCGTTCGGACAATCGCCTGACCGTGCGGCCTATGTACGTTGTACCACAGGAACAAGTAAATGAGTATACACAGAATGAGACCGCAGAGTGTGGAACTTTGTCCTTCAGTCGCAAGCACACAATTGGCTTGAACGTGAACAACACACGAAGCTTAGATGCATAGAAAGTCTTATCGATTGCGTCAGATAATTTTCATTTTATGATCTCGGCTGATGTGTCCCCTTTGAACGGTAAAGAAATGTGCACAGATTTTTTTTTAACCTCGTTATTTTGTAAAGAGTTTTCCGTGCACTGAATCATCTTGTTGACTAAACGCTCCGGATATTCATTACGTGCAAAGATCGATTCTACAATACGGAGCTCTTCTTCTAGCGTGTCCTCACTGCAGATCTTTCTTGCCCTATTCGCTAGGCAATGAACCAGGTTCCTTTTTATCTTTAGTGGCACAAAGCTTCGGAAATGAATGCATTG